ACCACTTGACCTGGGCCAAACACCACGCTACCTCGCTGCAACAGCCCCAGCACTGCGACCCGACCATTTTGTGGGCCATCGCAATGCAAAGGACCATACCACAACTGCCACAACTACAGCACAACGTGTTACTCGACATCGCGGACCTTCGCGATGACCTGACTACAGATACACTTGCATGGTTCGAACAGCTGCCCCCACACTGCCAGCGAGCCTATCGACAACCGAAGATGATCACTCAGGTACCACTCATGACACACTTGCTACATTTGCTTAACTACCCACAGGCACAACTCCTGCACGAGGAACTCTCTCTAGGCTTCGACCTCCTGGGGCCTCTGCGACCCGGAGTCAATTGGCACATTCGCCACGACCACAAATACCTGGACCCATGTGACCTTGCAGAACTCAGGTCATTCAACAAAGCCTACATCCAGCGCAAATTACAACAACACAAGATCGACGACCACTGGACTCTTATGGCCACCGAAATCGCGGGGGAAGTGGCCCAAGGACGTATGGCCGGCCCCTTCGAGGCACCGACTCATTGGACCTCTCGCACAGTACCCCTGCACCTTTTCCCCCACACCAGCCGGCTCCTTCCTATCCCACATCGCGATCCCATTGTGGCAGTCGCATTCAGCATACAACAGACCGGATCGGACGGAAAACCCAAAGTCCGGAGAGGAGAAGACTGGCGCCGCAGCGGCCACAACCAGACGTGCTCTATGCACGATCAACCCTACCATCACACACCCGACCACTACATCCAATGTGCGAGACAATATCACGACGACGCACACCCGCTACATGTGTGGGGACACGACCACGACGGCGCCTACCGTCAACTGCCCCTCGCACAACCGGAGGTAGCATACGTGCTACTCATCACACCCGACGGCCCAACTCTCTGGCACCACCACGTGCTCCTGTTCGGCTCCGCTGCCAGCGTCTGGGGCTACAACCGCTTCGGCGATGCACTCACAGCACTCGCCCGCGTACTAACACTCACACCTGCCCTGCACTACGTTGACGACTACGGGGCCATACAACCCAGTCACATCGCGACCAGTTCCTTCTCCTCATTCAGCAAGCTCAACTCACTACTTGGATTTCATATGAAGACATCCAAGGAACAACCACCGGCGCCCTCTCACAAAATACAAGGGGTTTATGTCGACCTGTCGGCAACACACGCAACCCTTCGACCGTGCCCAGACCGAGTCCGTACACTGTCACACACCCTGCTTCAGTGTCTCGAACAGGGAGGTATGTCGAACGACACCGCCCGACGCACTGCCGGCAAGTGCAACTTTGTCACCGGACACCTGTTCGGTCGAGTAGGGCGATCGGCGTTAGCCGCCCTATACCACAAAGCACACAGCACTTCCGACCGGATCGACAAACCAACTCGAGCTGCCATTCTGTGCCTCCTGAATATCCTGCAACATAGCTCACCCCGCAGCGTCCCACTGTCCACCAGGCCCAGAGACCTTTCAATCATATACACCGACGCGTTCTGCCGGCAGGGCGAGACGGTCTGGCGTGTCAAGGACGCAGGGGATCAGGATTGTCTGCCACCCGATTGGTCGCACGACAACGGATGGGCAGCGGTGCTGTTCAGCCCACAGGCACAAAGGACCCGCGTGGTCTCGGGCGCACTACCCCCTAACTTACTCCAACAAGTGAGTACTGGCACCAACGCCATTTATTTCCTCGAGGCATGGGCCGCGTTGATCGCTCCTGTGATCTTTCGACCATGGATCACTGACACATACCTCCAGTTGTGCGACAACGAAGCGGCCAAACACGCCATCAGACGGGGAGTTGGGAAACACCAACCACTAAACTGCCTGCTCGGTGCACATTGGACATGGCACAACCGACAGCAATTGCAGTTGCATATTGCCCGTGTGCCCACACATGCTAATATAGCCGACCCCTTCAGTCGACATGACATGTCCCTTGCCTCGAAGCACCACTGGCAGATTCTGGAACCCCCCATGCACGCTCTACATAAACGGACGTGCAAAATCATTGGCGATATTGAGTTCGCCCATGCCGTCGGATTTGACGACATAAAGGAACTCCAACAGTTCCACAGGAATCATTCCTCCTGAACCCGACTTGACTTCCACGTCCCGTGAGAATCTTGTCCACAGTAAGGAGACTTGATCGATGTAAGGATGCCTTCAACGTGCCTTTTGTCTAGGTCGTTCGCCTTCGGCTTCACCTTCGACGGGAGTTGACCTACGACGGGAGAACGTCCACTCCCTCTTCGAAACTCTGCTGTACAACATTTTGGGTTTGCATGCACTTGCATTTGCTTACCTTTTATTTTGTTGTACTTTACTTTCGAGTCAGTGGTGTCTGAGAGACACGCACACCGACTCCAGAGATTGAAACAGATCGACCAACAGGTACGATCCCACCCACTTGAGGCAGTGCGGTGAAAATAAATCGACCGACGCTGGTTGCCGTCGTACTCTCTGGAGCGGTTTGTTGTTGCGGTTAACACTTGTGTTAAAAGTAACAACCGATAGCGGAAGGCATTTGAATCACACTCAGATTCGAACCTTGAGTGCCTGCAGGATGACACTGCTTGATTCATGCTCCGTTCGCCATTTTGGCGAATTAGCCAAATTTTTCTTTCCCACCCACCCTCACCAGTTTTCACTGCACGCCCTCAGTACCTGTCGGTCTGCATTTATAGCATCGAGTGAGAGGACGGGAGAACGTCCACTCCCTCTTCGAAACTCTGCTGTACAACATTTTGGGTTTGCATGCACTTGCATTTGCTTACCTTTTATTTTGTTGTCCTTTACTTTCGAGTCAGTGGTGTCTGAGAGACACGCACACCGACTCCAGAGATTGAAACAGATCGACCAACAGGTACGATCCCACCCACTTGAGGCAGTGCGGTGAAAATAAATCGACCGACGCTGGTTGCCGTCGTACTCTCTGGAGCGGTTTGTTGTTGGTGTTGCTTCCCAAGTTCCATTGATCGCCATTTGGCTCAAGACACAATTGAGGTTCAAGATCTGATGTGTGACTGCATACATACGTGATCGGCATTGAGAGCGAAAACACTTCGCTTGCGCTGCATTTGTCAGGACTACTGTTGTAACTATCATTCCTTCTCCCTTACAACGTTTACACGGGTTCGGCTATAACGGCATCGTCCGTATACACCTTTCTACGTGGTTGGTATTACAGCTTGAGGGTTCGGTGCATAGCGTCCCACGGGACGTCACCTTGCCGTCTCTCGACACACTCTCTCACTCTGTCACTCACTCACTCACTCACTCACTCACTCACTCACTCACTCACTCACTCACTCACTCACTCACTCACTCACTCACTCACTCACTCACTCACTCACTCACTCACTCACTCACTCACTCACTCTCTCACTCACTCACTCACTCACTCACTCACTCACTCACTCACTCACTCACTCACTCACTCACTCTCTCACTTACTCTCACTCACTCACTCTCACTCACTCACTCTCACTCACTCACTCACTCACATCACTCACGCACTCACTCACCTCACAACATACTCGCTCACGCACGCACTCACTCATCACTCACTCCACTCACTCACACACTCTCTCACTCGCTCACTCAGCTCTCTCTCCTCACTCTCTCTCATCTCTCTCACTCTCTCACTCTCTCACTCTCTCACTCTCTCACCTCTCGCTCTCATCTCCTCTCAACTCTCTCACTCTCTTCACTCTCTCACTCCCACTCTCTCATCTCTCACTCGCTCACTCTCTCACTCTCTCACTTCACTCACTCACTCACTCACTCACGCACCTCACAATCACTTCTCTCTCTCTCTCTCTCTCTCTCTCTCTCTCTCTCTCTCTCTCTCTCTCTCTCTCTCTCTCTCTCTCTCTCTCTCTCTCTCTCTCTCTCTCTCTCTCTCTCTCTCTCTCTCTCTCTCTTTACTCCAGTAGATGTACCTGGGCAAATAGTAATGAGCTAGTATTATTTTTCACGAAAGGTAGCCTTTCGGTGGCTACCTTGAGTACTTTTCTTCTGTCCGTTCCATACCCTTTGATCTTCCGCACCCCCCAAACCAGGGGTTCGACCGCCTGATTCGCCGCTTCGCTGTTCTCTCCGCTCTTCTTCCCACTCATTTAGTGGCCGCTTCTTTCCCCACACTTCCCTCCGCTCTGCTCCCTGCTCTCTCTCCCCCCCTGCTCTCCCTGCTCTTCTCCCCCATTTGTTTCTCCCCGCGGCCTCCCCAAGACACGGTTCAATTAAGTCGGTGTGGGACGCTCTTTGCGCGAATGCTTCATGGTCGGGTGTGCCCAGTTGTACGGTCCTCGCCGTACCAGGGTTTTAGCACCAGACCTCGTCTCCGAGCTTTCCTTTGTCATTAGATGCCCCGTGACATGTTCAAGCTCCAGCCCCAAATCTGGTCGCTTTACTTCCTTATATGCTTCAACACGACTTTGAACTTTCATACTTCCTACCAACATGTTGGCTCAATGTAACGGTTGACTCTCGTATTTCGTGGGCTTCCCGCCACATTTCAGTTTTAAGCTCTCGAGCGCAACCTTTTCTTCTTCTTGCTTTTTCTCCACAGTCTCAAGATGGCAGGTAATACTTCCCTCTGAATTTCTTGACTTCAGAAATTGCAACAGTTGGGGTGTGTCAGCATTGGATGAACCTTCCCTTTGCCAAATTGTATCCCCAACCCCAACGGCTTTCCTCCCTTATATGCTTCAAGTTTATGTCTAACTTGCATACTTCCGCCCAACCTTGTCACCCCAGCCCCCCACTTGTAGTAGTGGCAGCGGCAGCGGCAGCGGCAGTGGCAGTAGTAGTGGTAGTAGTGGTGGTGGTGGTGGTGGTGGAGGTGGTGGTAGATGGCCAGTAGTAGTAATAGTTGTAGTTGTAGTTGTAGTTGTAGTTGTAGTTGTAGTTGTAGTTGTAGTAGTAGTAGTAGTAGTAGCAGCATCAGCAGAAGCACCGCGCATCGTTCAGGGTGAGGGATCGGTGGACGTGCTCTTCCTGTCCCCCAGGGTCGGGCACAGGCGGGGAAGTCAAGGCAAAATCGTTGAACTCGGGACGTGCGCCTGGATCGTGGAAATGTTATTACCCCAAGGTAAGATGTTTAATTCGTTGGTCGACTTCCCCCAACACCGGATCAATCGCAGGTTTTTCGGCCGATCCCTCGGACTGAAGCTATTGAACTCGAATACCTTCCACCCAGCCCCTTTTCCTTTCTTTTGGAGGGGGCCACTACCAAAGCTTGCCTTTTGTCATGGCTACTGGAGGTCTAAGATATAGGTGCAGCCAGTGTTGGCCAGTTTTTTTTCGCGGACCCAAGCGAGTGCGCGTTTCCGACCAGACTCGCCAGGCCGAATCTGAGGAATCGCGCACAGATTGGTTTTCGATCCAAACCCATCTTTCCCCCCCCCCCTCACCCCCCGCCCCCCTTTTCCCATCCAACCTGTGTTGTTTTTGGCCTGTAAACCAGGAGACAAGCGCTAGTCCCCTACCCTTGAAGCTCCAACAGCAAGACTTGAACAATTGAAGGGTCATGTAGCCAGCTTCAGAGTTTACAGATTCAATCCTCGCCTTTCTCCGGGGGAAATGGGTTGTTTGGCGCATTGCTTAGGTTCAGGGCATGTCACCTCCGGTGCCTAAATTTTGGTCGAGTCTCGGTCTTCTGGCCCTTGGCTCTCCTGTCCCAAAACGTACCCGCCCAAGAAACGAGCGCAGAACCTGCAGAGAATTCCCCTGCAAAGGACAAGCCCTGTGCAGGTTCTACGTTTGTTTTTGGGAGGGCGCTCTGGGAAGGCTTTGCCACCCAGTTTTTTGATGGGCCTGGTCTTCCAAGCGTCAGCTGCCTTCATCTTTGCAGCTTTCTTTTGCCACACCTTAAGCAGTATTTCAATCGAATCGCTGCATGTCTCAGAAGCCGCAAACTTGGCGGTCCAGCTGTAGTTCTTCGGCTTTTTTCTTCGGTTGGCCCGGGCTTGGGCTTTGGTTCCCATTGGCCCGGGTAGGGTTTTTGGTTTCCCCATGCCAGGCACATGCCAATCCAACAGGGGAGGCGGCCAAGAGGCTGCAGGCACCGACGGGCCTGGGCGCGCGGTATAATTACCTCGGGCGCGGGGTTGCGAACTCCAATTCGCATCAGCTAAGAAGCGCAAGGATCTGATTCCCCAGGGAAAAGACCAAGAAACCATTGGTTTTTGTTTAAATGGTTTCATTTTTTAAAGGGTTTCACAAAGCGGGATTTTTGGATTCCGCAGTATTTGCTGGAACTCAACCCAGTAAGTTGACCCCGTCTTTCCACCAATCATGATAGTAGACGGCTTCCATTGACTATAGTTTTTGTCTATGGCAGGAGTTGGGCTCTTGTTTCACTCCCATTTGGTGAGTGTGACCCGCGCCATCTCCAATCTTCTTTTGAAGATGGGCTTTGGCTTCTATTACTCACATGTGCAGTTGTTGCATTTATAAATCCGTAAAAATATCAAATTGAAAAACACGACGTGTCTTTCTATGCATCCGTTCAGATGCTCTTTGCTACAACTGCAACTGCAGCTGCTACTGCTACTGCTACTGCTCCTGCTCCTAACATAGAACCGGCAAATCTGGTGGTCGGACACTTTTAGACATATAAAAACTATAGTTCTCTTGCGCTGTTCTTTTTCTTTCTTTCTCTCTTCTCTCTCTCTCACTCTGTTTCGCTAGGAGCCTTGCCGTGTCGCAGCACTCAGGCCCCATTCCGCCGCCGGGTTTGCCCCCCCCCCCCCCCCCCGATCCCGATCCCAAGGCCCTGATCGCCCGATCCCGGCTCCGGTGGCCGCAGGCAGTGCGGGGGCTCCGGGGACGGCAGCCTCCTCCGGGACTTCGTGGCGGGCACCGGGCGCTGCGACGTGTGCAAGGGCGAGCGCTTCATCCAGCCGGGCGCGGCATGGGGCGGGGGCGGCATGGCTGGTGGGGTGGGGTGGGGTGGCTGGTGGGGTGGGGTGGGGGTGTGGCTCGGGTCTGGTGGGTCTGGTGGGGTCGGCTGGGGGGAAGGGGTCGGCTGATGAGGGGGGTGGGGTGGTGTCAATGAGAGGGGGGGTGGGGCGGTTGGATGGGTCAAAAGAGATCCCTGAAAGCTGCCCCAACCCATCCCAGAGCTATGTAGGCAAAGACCCCATAGCTTTCAGCTGTTGGGGAATGTCACAAAACCGGCCCCGCTTTTTTGTAATTGGCTTATTTCGAGTACGCGAAAATGGAGGTACCCGTGCATTTCCATTTGGCCCCATTGTTGGCAAGCCGCAGTCCACATGGCATAGCACTTGCTACGTCAAATTTCCTTGAAGGCCCCCGCTCTTTCTGGGGACGCGCTTTCGGATTGATCCGAACACCTGGTTTCTGTAGCGCCTAAGCATTTGCAAGGGGCCGACCCAAGTTTGGGGAAAGCTGGGCCGCGGGAAACATGTTCCATGTGCAAAACACCCTTTTGCTTGGGCTGGTCATGAAACTGAAACCCCCAACAGTTGCATGATCAGGGTCCCTTACTCGGGAAGTGAGCATTTCCGGTCTGCAAAAAGTTTTGAGATCGATCGAAGAGGTTTTTGCGAAGAGACGCCAAAGGGTGTCCGGGGTGGGGGTGTCCAGGAGGACGGCCAAACTTGATGTTGTACTCACACAAATTGGAACCCGTTCGCTCCCCACGGGCCTTTGAGGTTTCACCCCGTGTGGATTCGCAAAAATATATATCCTGTTTTGAACTTATGAGTTTGTCTTCTTGGTAGGGGACCCCCTGTCAAAATGGTGGGTTTTCCTTTTGGCCTTCAAAGGGGTACCGCCAAGAAAAGATGAGCCACCCATGTGTTTCTAGCAGCAAATGGTGGGTCTGTTCTCCGCTGGACATCCCTCGCTGTCAGGCGGCTTCAAGGGCGAGGTCGCGCCCCAAAAGGGTCGGGACCGCGAGCGCGAGGCGCGGTGGGTTGGGCGTTTTGGGTGCGTTTTTTGATCTCGCGGGATTGGAACATCACCCGTTTGGTTTGGGTTTTGCCTGTGGTAGTTTAGTTTTGACTCATACCCATTTGGGCGTGGCTCAAAGTCAAAGAGCTAAACCGCAAGCCGCGTTTGAAGGGAACACAAGGACCTGCGGAATAGGACGAGCCTGAAGCAAAGAAGCGCGAGCAAGTGGCCAAGCAGTTTGAGGGCTTTGAGTTTCGTTATGGGCCTGTGATTTTCCTTTAGACCACCAGGCAGTATGACAATGTCATCCTAAGGTGAACGAGCAAGCGGTTGGTTTCCCAGCGCCTTGTGACTGGTGTCCCCTCCAATGTGGGTAGACTGAGCACGAAGCCTAGCGAACTTCCTATTTTGAGAAGACCATTTTAGTGGCAAAGAAAAAGACTCAGACTTGTTCTGGCCAATCCACGCAGGAAGTGAGACGGAATCTGAACGTACCCCCGAGTTGGGTCCAAGGTGACGGGAGTTTGTCTCTTCTTGCTTCCTGGAGCTTTCTGCAGTAAGTCAAGCTGACCTATGAAGCTCATTGAAGGCCTTGACGACTCCCAGGTCTTTGGATCGTGACGCCTAGCATCGATCGGGCTTTGTGTCAAAGTAGGGATGTTGGACCCCAAAATGGCGCTTTGTTTTTGGTTCCCCTAGCCAAGCCGAAAAGGGCACCCTCAAAACCCGGAAGATAAAAGAAACGCATATGTCCAGTACATGTCCGGAAGTCTCAGGAGCAATTGGGGGGGACGTGGGCAGCGTCGGAAAGCGCACCATTTTCTTCCGGAGAACTGATGGCCTGTGACATAAAAAAAAAAAACAGAAATTCCGACGCCAGAGCCGTGACACTGGCCCGAAAAGTTGGAGCTTTGCGTGTTTTCCCGGCCTCGCACTCGCCATTTAGGTCTGTGTCAACTTCGTACCGTTAGGAGCAAGATTCTAAGGAACATGCTCTTTAGGGGTTCCAAAGCTGGGTTTTATCGTTCAACTTGCCCTCCCAACAATAAATGACAGCCCTTCAAAAGGAATTGTAGTCCAGGACCCCCCTGTCAGGTTTCATGTTAATTTGGACCGGTTGCCGAACTCCCTGTCCTTCGGATTCGAGATGTTCGGGTATGAACCTGTCAAGCGGCGTCAAGCAGTGAAGTTCTTTCATTTGGGTCCTAACTCTAGTGTGTGTCATTAAAAAGGACCGCTTTTCCTTTCGAGTAAGTAGCTCTCCCTGTTTCTGTGAGGGTGGGGCAACCAATGTCTGAGATTTTCGGCCTTGCCCAAGCGTCTGCCCGGGTCTCTTCCCTCAATGCGAGGCGTTCGCCTCAGTGGCAGACATGTGAGGAGGCCCCCGAACCACGCAATCCGCGCGGTTCGGGGAGCCAAGCTGAGCCGGACCAGGCTGTCTGGCCAAGCACTTGGGGCCTTGGCTAGAGAGAAGGCAATCCTCCGCTGTTCTATCGCCATCAACCTGCCTGCGGGTTTTGGGCTGCCGGGTTTCATGTGGGTGACAGATTTCGGACCTAAGAATGGCTTCTTTCTTAGGGATGTAGGTGTGGCTCAAAATAAAGTGCAAGAGTTAGGCAGGTTTTAGTTTTTGCTTCCATTTACCAAGCTGCCATTGTGGGGATTCCGTCATTTGAGCAGCCATGTATTTTGAGGTGAACTCTTCAGCCAGATCCTTTTGCTTCCCTTGGGCGGAGAGCAATCTCGAGCGGCCCGTCCAAGACGGTTTGCTGCGAGTCGATCGCGGCCCCCCGCCAGTGGACGGACGGGACTGAGATGATGAAAGCAAATTTGGGAAGCCCATCGAGCGCTTTTTCCCAAACTGACACCCGGAATTGCCGGGTTGGCGGCAATTTGGGGAGGCCAAGCATCATTTTGACCGACTTCTCCGTCTCGCTCAGTGACGTCTGAAGTGCCGCCAACCAGGCACCCCCCAAAGAAACTTCCGGCCAATCTAGGGTGCAAACCATTTTTGGACGTGCCCTCTTTTCTTACGGGCTCACAGGTTTTCTCCGGCTTCGGTTGGCCCCTTTTAGCCTCTGCAGGCTACCGGTTTTGGGTTTGCCCTTGTTGGTTTGTGGTAGGGACTATTGCGGATATCAGCACACACACGCACACACACACACACACTCACCACATATATACACATGTAATATGTATGTATATCTATCTAAATCAATCTATCTAAATCTAGGACTCCCAAAGGGGCCAAAGCAAGTGCGGCTCAACGTTGCCACCAAGAACCATGGGTTTGGACCACCAAAAAAGTTATCGAAAGGAACACGAACGAGCTTCCAAAAAGTGGAGTTTTTTTTTCTTTCCCCCGTGGCAACTGTAGGCTTGGATCCATCCGAAGGCTTTATTAATTTTTTGGAGACGGGGTTGGATGATGAGGGTATCTCAGCGTCCTCTAGTTGGTGGTTTGAATTGGTGGTTTGGGGATTTGAACCCCTCCTTAAAGCAACCAATCCCAACCACCAATTAGGGGGAAGCTGAGTACCAATTAGCCCAAGGTGCTTTTGATGGTGCAACTGTGAGAAGAGCAACTTCTCGGTCAAGCTAGTGGGTGGATAACGAGAGCTGAATGTTGAATGTCTGAGTCCCGTCGGTCAGCCTCGCGGGTGAAACCCGCATCGTAGACCATGCGCGGCATCTCATCTGCCGAAGCTTTTCGTCTTTTGACCCGAGAGGCTGTTGAGAATCCAAATCTGGGATCGGATCTGGCCTGTGCACTCAGGAAACCAATCTGAGGGAATGGTGAATGGTGGGTGTCCCTCACTTGATCCGGATTCCCCGAATCAACATAAAAAAATAAATAAAAACAAATCCATCAACAGAATCCAATGAGAATCAGTTGAGGAATCCTGGGTTCCCATTGCACAGAAGCTGGTCGAAGGGCCAATGACACAAACTCCTCGAAGGCCGAAAGGCGAAAACAAGAACCCCTGGTGCTCCGAGGGGCTCGGGAAACCGGGAAGTCCCGTCGACTCCTCTTCGTTTGCTTCTGGCTTTTCGAGCTTCCCTGGTCATTTTTTTTTTAAAATCCGATGGGGTTTCCCTTTTCAAAAGGTGCTCTTTTTTTTTTTTGTGACTCAGGCCTTGCTTTTTTTGTGACTCCGAGGCCTTTTTGGGGTTTCACAGGGACGCGCCGAAAATGGGTTGGCTGGATTTACATTTCAAGGGCCAAAGGGACGGGGGGAAGAAGCCAAGAGGGGCACCTTTGAATTGCCGAGCTCGGCGCGCGCACGCCGCACGCGGCTCTCCAGGGTTACAAGGCCCAGGTTTGAGCCAGGCGGAGAAAAAGATCAAAGATCATGGGAGCGAAGGAGCGGGGAGGATTTGTCACAGTTCCTCTCTGAAATCAACGGGAGGTTTAGGATCCTGTGGGGAGGTTGGGCAGTACCCCGGCGAAAAGGGGAACCTGTTCGACATGGGCCCTGGTGGAAGGTGGGTTTTCTTCCCTGTAGATGAAAAACACGCAGAGCCCTCAGTTTTAAGACACCCAATTAGGACTTGAGTGCGCCTTACAAAGAAGGAAGCTGACAGGGCGCTTGGATTCGCTGAGTTCCAAGACCCTAGCTCCGCACCAGGAGTTGATGGAGTTGGCGTGTTGCTGGACAGAAGTTACTTCGCACCCCACCGAATGATTCGAGAGGATCAGTTCGCTTGCACCAGTGAAAAAAGGTCCCCCATGTTCAATCCATTAGTTAAACATCCAGGGATTTGGTTTCCGACCGAATGAAGCAACAATCGGGTTTGTACCGTTTAGTTTTTCTATTCATCCATGCCTTTGACATGCAATGGATCCCCCCCTTCCAAATACACGTCTTCCTCGACAGTTCGAAAAACCAGGATACCTCCTGTTTTAGTCAGTCGAATTACAAGAGAAGGCTCTCTGACTTTGATTACAAGTAATTGGAGTAGGGGGCCTGGGGGAATAGTTCTACACGTGTCCTGGTGTTCCCCTGGCAAATATGACATGACAGATATGGTTGTCTATCCTTCATGCGCTTCTTATGTGTCTGAAAACTAGGAAGTTCCCCGCAACAGAGATTGATTTCCGGGGGTTTCCAAAAGCAAAAGCACCCACATCAAGGTCAGCAAGGCATTCTGCTTCGCTCGTTCCATGATTCACTTTGTTGCGACTGCATCGCCCGGTTTTGTCCTAGAGGGACTTTGGTTCGCGCTGGGCCGCGACGTTCGCCCAACATGCCCGAGCCTTACAGGTACTCCAAAACGCACACGATGTAGCGGACAGTGCTGCAAGGATGAATTGATGATCCCCGACCTCAAGTGGTGCTATTCTTTCTGCTGTTTTTCAGAGGGCTCCCTGCAAGCTCAACTATCAAGGGTGCTGGTTTCCATGGTCATGAAGTCGAAGTTATTTGACAACGTCAACGTGCGCTCCCATCCAAGTTGGAGCATAGCACTTGCATCCAAGTTGGAGCCTCGCACTTGGGAACTCAGGACGAACACCTGTTAAATCTATAGGGGGTCCCATTAGAGAGGGGATCTGCATATCACCTTTTGGGGCAACCACCCTGCACACACCCGTTGGGACGAAGAGTCCATCCTGGCAGAGTTCTCCCTACAAAAAGTCTTGGAGCCCAAAAAAGGAGTCACCCCAAAAGGCGTTCCGCTAGAATTTTGCTGGGTTTTGAAGATGCAATAGAAATCATGTGCAAGGCAACGACACGTCACAACGATTCATTGGTATGAGTCCCTGAGACTGCAGCCAGTGCATGGCGGGAGAAACATAATCATGATACCTCGACTTACACCTGATATTCTAGGGAATCCTATCATGAAGCTCAACAGAACCGACTGTGGACGGTTGCGAAATCCAGAAATCGCACCGCCGTTCAGAACCCCCTGGTCTCTTTCGATTCCCCCAGGTAAGTAACGAGAAATATTCTCTGGTCATCTCCGAAAACAAATCCAAGTCTTCACACGCAACCAGGCTCGTGCGGGGCCTTCCTAAGCAAGCCACCGGGTCTTTGCCGCGTCAAATGTCGAGGGAATCTCCGGAGCAAAGTGAGACGTTTTGCTGCCCTTCTCTTCCTATCACCAATTGTTTTCATTTTGGCATGGGTGAGTGAGATAGAGAGAAGAAGCGGACGGCACGCTCTTTCGGGCACGAGGGAAAGAACGCAGAGCCATGTTCTTCACTTTTTGCCCCTTTCTACTACTCTTGGGAAGTGAGAGGATATGGGAAGATGAGATGGGTTTAGGTTGCAGTGAATGTAATGGCTCTCTTTTCTACACATGCGACACATGCGACCTCATGTGACTCGGAAGGCTCGTTTCTGCTCTTGGGAGCCTTCCAGCCGCCTCTCCTTTGAGTTTGCGCTCCAGACAAGGGGCACAACAAGTGAACAGTTTACCCCCACGAAATATCCAGTGAAGTTCGCCCAACTCCGCTTGTATTGAACGGCCCTAAAGATGGCCATCGCTTGTGCTCAGCCATCGTTTTTTTCTTTTTCTTTTTTTTCTTGCTTTGAAGTCCTTCAAGGCGGGGCACCGTTACGATCTGTTGAAGCAGTTTCGCATGAGGTTGGAGTACCCATTTGTGTTGGTTTTGAGGGGAAGCCAAGGGATTTTCATATTTGAGACAAGCCCATTTATGAAGTATTGCCCATCCAACAGATGTGGGCAGCGGGCCTCACCCCGGGGCCGTTTCCTTTTCGCCCAGGGCAGATGGTGGCGATGTGCCGATGGGAGGCGCTCGCTCGTCTTTTTTTTTTCTTCCGCGCGGAGTGGGTCGCTTCGCAGGTCGCCAGAGCCGAGGATAGCATGGGTTCATAGGGGCGGAACATGATTCTAAGAGCAACTTCCCCATTCTTTCCGGGGATCCTTCTAATTCAGAAAACCAGCAAAACACAAGTGAAACGCTTTTTTTCCTCGAAAAATAATTAGAACTTGGTGGCTGCAACAGCCCCCTACTAAAATGAACAGAAGCAAGAATGGTTCCTAGAATGATAGGTTCACGAATCTGGGGTGAGACAGCGCAAAGAGCTGAGCGAGCCCTCTCTCCGCAGTTTTAACGGGTGCTCATATTTGAGCCAGGGTCAATGTTCATTGTGAGGATGGCAAACACTGCCCTGGGCCTTCTCAAAGACGGATTTCTGTTGGCCAGGAGTGTTTCAACGGGTTGAAACCTGAAGCACTGGGGTTGCTTCAGCAGGTGGTCAATTTTGAAACATGGCGGGTTCGCGAAGTTTTGCGCGAAGTTCATGGGTGCTGACGATTCTTGCCATGCCCACAGGGAACTTTCATCTATTTGACCATGGCTCACATGTGCCCAAGGGTCAAGATACCCGCCCTCACCATGGGGTTGACGGAGATGGTCATCTCGGGAACTTAGGGAACCACAAGGATTCTTTTTTGGAGGAACAAATGACCATGGCCCACATAAGTTTTGATGCGACATATGGGCAATCATCATTTCATGTACAGCACCAGTCTATGGGGGGGAGCTGCGTGTGTTGTCCGTGGCTCATATGGCTATGTACGGTCGGCTATGTTCAATCCCCTTTTGGTTAAGCAACCCCCTAGGTTTCCCTTTGAGGGCGTCACACCTCGCGCCCCACGGAAAGAGAAGCCTTCGAGGGATTCCGACGGGGAGTCTTGACGGCCATGGCCCAAGGCGATGACGTCCGATGCCCCGGCACATCGACCGGTGAACTGGAGCAACCGCACTCAAGAATGGACCTATGAACGTAGGACTGGACAAACCACCGACTAATTCGTGCAAGGTCTGGTCTGTTTCCCCTTTGTGGAGTTGACGATTGCTTTGCCAGTTCGAGTTGTTGGGAGAAGTCATTGGGTTGAGCCCTGTTCAATGTCAAGTTTTTCGGACTTCCAAAGGGGAGCAGTTTCATTGCCACACACCAGTGACTTTGTGACTCAACAGGACATTTTCCGAAGCCACCTGTAACAAACCCTTGGCCACAGAGGTCCAGTCGTCAGCGCTGCTGCTTGGTGTCGCTTGTGTTGGCTGCTGCTCCCAGGCTTTTGCCAGAAGAAAACGGTGCGGCCTTGCCAATGTACCAGTCACCAACCAGCCCAAGCCGACCAATGTTGCTTGCTGCTTTTTGCTGATTTGCCGTTGATGGTTTTCTTTTCTTCGCCGTTTTTTTTTTTTTTTTTAAATTGGGTGGATTTTGAACACGTGAGCGCCCAGCACGTGAAAGTAGTGGTACCACCTGGTGATTCTTGTAGAGCCAAAACTCAATGGGTTTTTCGCGCTGCCCATGTGGTTTTGTCGTTGGTTCGTGGTCAGCGGTTGGTGGTTTTGTGCTGGCTGTTTCTGCTGGAGTTGTTGAACACGCCCCCGCGGAATATTGCTATTTTTGGGGTTTGCTGGGGTGGGGTGGGGTGGGGTGGGGTGGGGCGGAATGGGGCTTGGCAATGGTGATGCTCGCGGGACTTTGGCAGAGTGGGGCGATCAATACAGGTCTTGTTTGATGCACCGTGGCAAACACCCACACACCACGATCAATCGCCAGTAGGCTCCACTTCTTCTGCTTCTGTATAGGGGATGGGTGGAGTGCTGTGGGGAGGGGAACGGCTGCGTGAGTGCCCGCCTTTGGGATTACGCGTGTGATGTCCAGCACAGGCGCAACCAGCTTGCATGCTTGTGGGTTGCGGTTGGTGCCTTGGTCCGTGCCAAGTTTTGGCGTCCGCAATGAGTCCACCAGGAACCGCTTTTTTGGGGAAGCCTTCATTATTGTCACTTGTTTCCCCCCTTAGGAGCGTCGACTTCATGCGACTTACTTCATGGCTCCTCCCATGGAAAAGCAGCTCGAGAAAGAAGAGTCAAGGCCGGCACGCGTGGCCAGCGTGGGAGACACAGTGTCAACCAGGACGAGCGTAACAGCGCCAAACGCAAAAAGGCGCGGGGTCAGATTCAACGTCTCCTCCTTTTTTTTTGCGGTTTGCTGGTTGTTGTCGATCTTTGTGGTTGCTTGTTGTTCTATGTCGTTGTTTGTTTTTTTGTCTTGCATTTGTTTGTTCATTTCTGCGTTCCACCAGTAGTAGTAGATTAGTCACTGAGCCTGCCAGCCAGTTCGCCAGTCAGCTAGCTGGTTAGTTGCTGTGTGAGTTCGTTCTTTAGCTAGCTAGTCACTAACTTGCTTACTTGCTTACTTGCTTACTTGCTTGCTTGCTTACTTGCTTACTCGATTGCTTACTTGCTTACGTGCTTACTTGCTTTACTTACTTGTTTACCTGAATCTTCACTCCACCCCCACTCTCACTTCCACTCCCACTCCCGCTACTCCCACTTCCACTCCCACTTCCACTCCCACTCCCCACTCTCACTTTCACTCCCACACCCACTCCCACACCCATCCCACCACTCACGCCACGCCACGCCACGCCACGCCACGCCACGCCACGCCACTCCACTCCACCCACTCCACTCCACACTCCACTCCACTCCACACTACACACTCCACACAGACCACACAGACCACACTCCACACTCCACACCACACTCCACACTCCACTCCACGCTCCACTCCACACTCCATCACACTCCACTCTCCACTCCACTCCACTCCACTCCACGCCACTCGCTGGCTGGCTGGCTTGCTTTTGTTTGCTTTTGTTTGCCCAGGGCCTTGTGGTTTCCGCCGCCGGGCCTCGATTCCGCGGTCCTTCTTGGCTGGGCCCAGTCCGAGGCTCCCAAGACGGAAGCCAAGCGCGGGCCTCGCTTCCAATCGCCGAAAATTCGGCCGGGGAAATTCCGCGTCCAAGGCCTCCCCTTCTTTGGGTTCCCTAAAAAACTTGGCTCTTCAACTTTTGTGGCTCTTCACTTTTTTGGTTCCCTAACAAAAACCAACCGGCGGATGTCTCCATCACCCTGGCCCGGTTTTGGGAAAGAGTGGCCTGGGAACCGGGTGAAAGGATTGTGAGCTATGCTTGGTTGGTGTCTCTTGCGACCGAAGCCCTCATCTTTATTGCCCGAGTGGACGCAAAACGGACAACGCAGCCTTTGCTTATAAGATGGGCTCCACTGGCTTCAGTTTTCATTTGGGTCCCCCCAAACAAGGCCAAAATTCAGACCTCCGCTTCTTTGTCCGAGCCTCTCCAAATCAGCTCACGGCAGTGGGATCGATTCTGAGGGGCAGCCTGGATGAGATTTGGGGCGAGGCGGGGCATGGGAGCCCGATATCTCACTTCCTGAGTTCCTGGACTTCAGACCCTCTTTGGGGGTTGGGCCATTCTAGCGGCAAAAAAAAGCACAGGGGCTGTTTTTGGCCAATCCACTCAGGACATGCATTGATTTGGACATCTGCCGGGACTGGGCTCCAGCAATTGGCAGGTTTCCCTTCGGCGGCCATTTGAAAGCACTGGGTGCCCAGGAAGCTACCGCTCTGCGAGAATGCACATGAAGGCTGCGTCACGGACAGCAGTACACCTTTACCTTTTGCAGCCATTCAGATTTGATCTTTCCCCACCTGGAAAAGGTTACTCATGGTCAGACTTTGCGCCGAAGGGAAGATTGATCAACCCCCCATGTATTGACTTCTTTCGGTGGTAAAAACCCGTACACTCCACCCCAAAAAAGCCGACTGGGTGCTCCTGGAAGACAGGATGTGCTTCAGGGTTTCAGCAAGAATCAAAGGGTCGGGTTGCAGGAAATTCTACAGGAAAACAGCTGATTTATTTTTGCCTGTATTTGAAAAACAGCATTCAAGAGCTCCACCAACTGCACGACGCGATTTCGTCCCTGCCAACCAAGTCTCAGTTTGGTGAATCGCCGTGCCTCCTTGTTCACCAGAAATACGACCTGCCTTTTTGTTGCCATCCGTTTGGGGGGTTGCTTCAAAGGGAAGCCAAAAATAAGCCGGCCCATTTTCCCAGATACGCTCATTTGGAGACTCCAGACTTCACATCCTCCCCAAAAGAGGGTTTTCGGCAGGACGATATCCTCACGGATGAGCTGAAGCGTGCGAGCCCGGACGAGTGCGGGACTGAGGAACCTTTTTCGGTTTTGTATGCGTCACATCCGCACCTCTAAAAATAGGCATGGGTATTTGGGTCATATTTTGGAGGTTATGTAGGTTTGCTCATACTTTAGGTCCTAAGTTTGCACTTAAAGTGTGGGGAACTGGTATGGGGTCCTTGTCGTTTTCCTGGGACACATCTTTTCTTTCCTTGCGTTTGTTTGAGCGGCTGCCCTATGGGTGGTTTGCACATGTCGCTTGAGGGCGTTTGACAACAATAGGATTGTTCCAACTTGTTCTTGACAGCCTTTTGCGAGGTTTTTGCAGAGCCACGCACATAGGCGTCAGACTTGTCTTCGTAGCGAAAAAGGTGGCATTTGGCTGCCTTTGACGGGCATCTGACCATAGCTTTGACATGCACAGAATCCCTTTCGGGATGGATCACAAACAAAAATGCATCAGAACCAGGATTCATCTGCGGTTCACGGAGAATGAGGCAAATTCATGAATTAATCTTCCCTTACCTTCCTTCCGCGCGCAATCCTTCCTTGCCCGGAAAGGTAGAAAAATGATCAAAGAGCAGCCAAGGGCTGACCGCAGGCTTGGTCATTGGTTCAACATCAACTCGTTGTATCTTTCCCTTGAAAGTGGGTCCACGGCAACTGGTTGCTTAAAAATAGGGTGTATGTGTGTGTGTGTGTGTGCGTGTGCGCGTCTCAACATAGGGGGATGGTTTTCCTTTCGGCTTTCCGTTCAAGGCAAAACAAAACCTCTAAGGCACGCCGAGAAAAGACATTCAGGAAAGGCACACGAATCCCCCGCGCTTTGGATGGGCTGAGACACTGAATGAGCCGGGTAAGGGGAAGGGGAGGGCAGTCCCAATCAGGAATAGGTGTGAATATCCGCCCTTTCAATTTGTTCATATGGCTTTGGCTGCAAACTATGCGCCCTCTTGAGTCTTCAATCATATCCTTACCTTAATACCAGGTTGTCACCCTGACTGAGGATCAACCAGCGTATTCGTTTGCTGGAGAACGACATCCGCGTGATGAAAAGCCGGGGCCTTTTTGGTGTTGCTCCACATGTTGGCTGTGGCTTATTGGATCCCCTTTTTGTATATAAAGCTGCCTGGTTCTTTAAGCTCCCCGCTTGGTTTTGGGTTAAACGGAAGCCGAAAAACTGTTGTTGCCATTTCGGGGGCGCAGATGAGAATCAATAAGCTCTTTGGTTGAAAGGCGCGCCTCATCGAGGGCATCCTTCACCTTGCGAAAAGATCCCCCAGTCATATGGCTGTGGGTCAAAACCAACGGTACCATTTTGGGTTAGGTGCACCACCCATTTGATGTTCACTGGGGGTACGATTTGGCTGTTGACCCATTTTGGCTGTTGACCCATGGTCAAATGCCAGTCTTGATATTCGGGGGTCAACAGTATCACGGAGACACACCTTCCCGCGTGAAAAGGCTCCGTGAGCCGGCGATGCGGAGCGCTGATTCGACTGCTAGTCTGAGGGACCCACTCACAGTCTCATGTCCTGATTTGGGTCGTCTTTTTTTCCCATTTGGCTGTGGCTCAAAAAACCGGTACCAAAATGGAACCGTAAGTGGAAACATGGACCAAAACCTGCGTAACCCCCCTGTTTAATTTTGAGCCACACCCATTTCTTTCTGGAGGGCCGGCATGCTGTAGTTTTCAGCATCCGAAAATCGGCTTTGGGGCTGCTGGAGCTGGGATTGGGGTTGGTTGATGTAGGCTTCGGGCAGATTCCAGGTTGAAATGGTAGGGGATTGGCTTAGGGTTGGGTTTGGGGTTGGGTTTGGGGTTGGTTTGGGGGTGGGTTTGGGGTGGGTTTGTAGATTTGTGGCAAAAGTTCACCGCTACTATTCTCCTTTTTGTTGCGCCCTTCCGCTGCGCCAAGTTAATGCGTATATTGTGACACGGCCTCATCCATTTTTGGGATTGGCGGTTTTTGACGGCCATGTATGCTTTTGGATACCGTTGGACAGCAGGAATCCTTGGCTTGGCCGAGATGGAGCCACAATCAGACATTTTATTCATTGGAGGGGGCAGTCCCGACCGTGAAGAGGTGTGGATATCCACCCGTTTTGATCCGCACTGTTTGGTGCAGGGCAGACTCCGCTTGTTACCCGGTGTTGATTATGACTTAGTCGCTTGTTTGCGATGGCTTCATTCTTACGACGTTGAAGCGGTCACCTTCAAGTTTTGACACGCCTAGAAACAGTTCAAGTGGGCTCAGTTAGTTTGAACGCGGCCAAACCCCCCATACTGGCCATTTCAACTGCCTGGTTTCGTGAGGACATAGTACGGGCTAAAGGAGCAAAGCACTTTGTAGCCATCTTGGCAGAGCCAAGCCTCAGTCTGGCGAAATGATCAAACAAAATCGCTGGCAAATCTGAGCTACGTGAAGCTGGAGATTCCATTTCTTTCCGAAGTCTAGCCCTGAGACCTGAGAGAACTTTCCGGCTTTGACGCTCAGCTCAGCTCAGCCCAGCTCGGCGGTTTTGAGCGGAGCGCGGAGCGCGGACGCCTCAGGCGAGCAGCAACGGCTCAGCCACGAGATGAAGACCATCGAGGCGCGGCGCCGAGGGGCCGCTTGGGCGAGTGAGCCCTGAGACTTGTCAATCTTTTCGGTCGGAGGGGACGTTTTTTCTTTGTGTTTTGGTTGGTTTCTGACGCATGTTTTTTTTCCCGTGTTTTTCTTTGTTGTGACACATTTGACACGGGCAGATGATCTTTGCCGTACCGGAAAATGCTTTTTTTTTTAAAGATCCTGGGTTCCCGTTGCAGCAAAGTAGTTGCTTTTTCTCCTTTTTTTTCCGCGGTTGCATCAAAGGGAAACCGGAGGCGACAAAACCCCATGTTGGCGAACATGTGGAGACAAACCCCCGGTAGGGCCACGGTGGTTTGTTATCCGCGCAGGAGAAGACGAAGGACAACAAGGAGAAGATCAAGCTCAACAGACAGCTGCCTCATCTGGCACCGGCCTCAGGCTCAAGGTGGATTGGTTTGGAATTGGATTTGACCCCCTGGTTCTTGAGGGATGGGGTTTACCACCCAACCTCCAAACCACCGATTCGGCTCGAAATCGTCCATCGGAGCAACGGTTGACCACATGTGTCCGGTTGGCTGAAGCCTCCGGCATGGGATTTGTCTTTGGGCCGCTCTGGAAATTTGAAAAAGAAGGAGCCATCAGCGGTTTTAAGGTGGCATGTGACGGGAGTCGAGCAGTCCTGAAAACCTTGAAACGGGATAGGAATCAAAGTGAAGTGGACTCTCCCCCCCCCACCCCCGCGAAAAAGGGTGGTTTCCCTTTTGGCTTTGCTTTAAAACCACAAACGTGAAAGCACCCTCAAGAAACACACCCAAACAGTTTTTGAGAATCAACCGCTCGGGTCACAGAAAGGGGCAGCCATGTTGAAGCCGTCACAGCACCAGGATTGATGCAAAGGACGGAACAACTCAAGCTCATATCTTTTCTTCGAGAAAAAAAGAAGGATTATCGTCGCTCGGAAGATGGAAGGATTAGCGCGTCTGGCCTGTGTCTCGAAAAGCGAAAAGTCTGGCAAGGGGTTTGATTCAGGCGCGTTTCCAGGTCTGGGGGGAAGGTTTGAAGCGCATCTGTTTTTTCTCCGAATGGTCAACTTTGGATTCATCCGGAGGACTGTGTGGGGTCAAAGTTTGGCCCGGACGAAGGGTGAAGTAGCCTGGCGAAAGAGCAGAACACCATCCCGTTGGCAAACGAGAAACGACCTTTCGACGCGTTTCCTGGTGGTTTGGCCTTGTGGGTCTCACCTGTTGCCTGTCCACTCCTCGCGCATTTTTTCCGCCTTGTTCTAGGGTCATTATTTATCATTATTTTGACTGTTTCTGGGGGTTACCAAAGGCAGAAAATGTGGTTTGTTTCCCTTTAACTTACCACTTAGGGGGTGACTTTGATCATGGTAAAATAATGAGGCCAGTTTTTTTCCCTCTTCGAACAAAGTTAGCCTCCGATATTTTTCCAGTGACTCCCTCCATCGCTACTCCATCGAGAGGTCGCCAACGTGGCGGAGATTTTGGAGCTGGAGCCAGACGAGGAGCTCGGAAGTCGATGCAAAGAGTGTTTTGGAAAGGCCAATGGCAAGTAGTTTGTTTTGGGGGGGCCCACGAGAGTCGCAATCAAAACCCGGCTAGATGAACGTTAGTAAGGGAGAATCCCAGCCATAAATGGGTGCGGCCGCCATTTTAAATCTTTACGCACCTTTGGGTGGGCCATTTTAGTACCAGATTTTGTTCATGACTCATTTGGACATGTGTTTACAAGGGTAAAACAAATAGCAACCTGCCCAACTCCAGTAGAATGACGGGTTTGCTGCTCCCAAAAAACGCGAATTCCAAATATACGAGCGGCAGAATGGGATCAGACTACTTCAGCAGCTTTCCTAGCAACACTACAACATCTTTGTTAGATTTCGGCCTAAAAGGGGGGTTGACAGGCAAGGCCCTTTTCAGGAAAACTTGTGACTCAAAGCGCGTTGGTTGCTCGTCCCTTTTTGCTTCTGATCACTCAGAATGTTTTTTGTTGTTTTGTTTTGTTTGGTTCTGGACTCACGACGCAAGCGAAGGTTGCGCGGTTCGCAGGGGTGAAATACTCCTGATTCACGTGATGGAAGTCGGATCCATGTCCGAGGAAATCCAACGTGCGCTTCAGCTTTCGGATGCACCGCTGGCTTCCTTTTTCTTCTTCCTCTTTTCTGCGTGTAATTGGGTAGTCCTTGGTGGTGTGGATTGGTTTTGGAATTTGAACCCCAGGTTCCTAGAGAGGGTAAATGGGAGACCTGCCCTAACCACAAAACCACCGGGCTCCAAACCACGAATTAGAGGGAAGCTGATGTAAGGTGAAGCTCCCTTGGTGATGGGTTTTTGGGGAAAAGTGGGCTACCCTTCCTCACGTCGCCAGGACGAGGAGGATGGGGGGATGCAGGACATCGACACCACCCGGGATGGGAAGAGCCTCGTAGCTGGAGCCTCGGAGGTGTCTGTTGCAAGCCGCTCCGTGACATGGAGAAGGTCAGCTTCGGATTTTCTGCGGAGGTCCCCCAGCAATTGGTGCCCGACTCGGTTCCCCTACTAAAATAGACCACAGAACAAAGAATCGGTGCCCTTATTCTAGCCTCTCAAATCCGGAGGACCTAGTCGGAGGCCTCTCTTAAATGGCTGGTTTCTGTACTCAAAGGGAGCCACGCCTTATGTTCTGCGCTTCGGATTGCTCCGAGGTTGACATTGTTGACCGCAAATCCAGGCACCTCAAGAGAAGTGGAATGTTTCAGTTTCGGAGTGACACGCATCACAGAATTGCCCTATTGTTTGGGGAGAAGGGGGGCCGGGGACAACTTCCCCAAGACCAGGGGATTCAATAAATGTCCATCTTCATGACCGGGGGCGGGACAGAACAGGTTATACTGAAGAAATTTTAACCTATACATGTTTTGAGTGTCTTCTTATTTGGACAGGTTTCGAGTATCTTCTTTTAACGTACTGTACCGTTTTTGGTGGTCTTCTTGCTTCAGGCTCGACACAGGCCAGCTGCAAGACCACCGAGCTTGTAGAGAGAGAAAGAGAACCAGTGCGTCCAGATACAACTATGCAACCAGAAAAGCAAAAAGTATCCCTTCGGGTTTTGCCGGATCTTTCACTTTACCTATGATGGGCACAAGTGCTGGGAAGATTGCTTGGATTTCGAAAAACCTTCAAGTTCTTTTCCCGCTCGGGCTTGGGGGAGCGCTCGTGGCGGTGTCATGGCGGTTGTATTTGGATCCCAGAAAAAGGGACAAATCCGAATCGAGTCGACCGCCAGAACGGGGTCCAACACTGCATTCTGGCCAGTTGTTCAATTTGCAGCTTTCCTTTCAACCAGTCTCACGCAAGGGCCTCTTTGGGAGGCTGCCTTCGTTGTTTTTTGGCGGGGCGGGGGGTTCAGGCCATCTGTCAGAGACCGGCCCAAGACTCCCGCGCGACCGCTCCCAGCAAATCCCGTTAACCAGCCATATTCTTCTTCTTCGCGGCTCCAAAGCGTCCTGGCGGAGCCCGCGCTTCCCCCAACCAGCCATTTTCTGGTATCACCAAAAAGAATGGATAGTTGGATCCATTGGGTTTCTTTCATCTGCCCTCAGGTGAAGACCACCACCAGGCAAACCATCTTCCTGCCGGCCGCGCCACCGTGCTTTAGCTGGCCTGGGCTGGTGGAGAAGTGGGCACGTGAATCGTCCAAGATCCTCATGCCATTGTACAGCAGGTTGACACAGCGTGCGTCTTTTGCACCTCCCCCACCCCAGCCCGTTTCCCTTTAAAACCACAAAATATGGGGTGCCCACAAAAAAGGACAGACGCATCTGGGCTGTGGCGGCTTTCCTGGCATCGCCTCCCCGTCGTTCAACAAACATGGACCAGACTTTTTATATCGGGGGTGATCCATATTCCCTTCCCCCAAATCAGCAAGGGTAACTTTTCACATTTAATCAGACATATCATCTTTTTAGTGGTTTTTCCCAGTGGTCATCCCATGTCAAGGACCTTTTGATCAATCCGCATGTCTAATGACTCGTCCTGTCCCGGGGCGCAACAAGGCTCCCGAGATGAACACAGGAAGGGCCCTTTGCGCGCGATCCCCCGGGTTTTCCAGCAGAGAGTTCAACGACGCTTCTTCCAAAGTACTGGATCTCTTCAATTCAGCAAATGGGTGGCTCGGCTTTTTTGGGGTTGGCACCGGTTCCTTTCGGTTTTAAAGCAAAGCCAACAGCATCACCGAAGCTTTTTGTGGTTTGTGTGTGTGTGTGTGGGCGCGTGCGTGCGTGCGTGCGTGCGTGCGTGCGTGCGTGCGTGTGCGTGTGCATGTGCGCGTTTTTGTTTTGTTTTGTTTTTTTTTTTGGGGGGGGGGGCAGGGGGCCCCGAGTTTTTTCTTCTTTTTTTTTCTCCTAGGTTTGGAGGGGCCGTTTTGCTGCGTGGTGCTGGGGTTTTGGCTCGGCCGGTCTGTCTCCCAGTCCGTCGGTCGCCCCGGTCGGTCGGTCGGTCGGTCGACCCGGTTGGTCGGTCGGTCGGTCTCTCAGTCGGTCGGTCTCTCAGTCGGTCGGTCGCCCCGGTCGGTCGTCCCGGTCGGTCGGTCGGTCGGTCGGTCGGTCGGTCGGTCGGTGGATTGGTTGGTGGATTGTTCGGTCGGTCAGTCAGTCCCTAAATCAGCTCTAAGCCAACCCTAAACCAGCCCTAAACTAGCCCTAAACCAACCCGAAACCACCCTTAACCCTAAAGCACCCTGAACCAACCCTAAACCAACCTAAACCAGCCCTAAACCACAATACACCAACCCTAAGCTAACCCTAAACCAACCTAACACCAGCCCTAAACCAACCCCAAACCACCCTAAATCAACCCTAAACCAACCCTGAACCAACCTAACCAACCCCACACCAGCCCTACACCAGCCCTAAACCAACCCTAAACCACCCTAAACCAACCCTGCGTCTTTGAACAAGGGAACCCTCTGCGGACTTTGCTGCGTTTTGGAAACCCGCTTAATCGAAAAGGTAAACCCTTTGCAGCTTTTCTGGGTCCGGACCACCGCGCCGAACCTAGGAACAAAACAGGCCGCGCCGAACCTAGGAAACAAAATAACCCTTCCGCCGGGGGCAGGAGGGCGGTTCTACAGAAAGACGAGTTCTTCAATTCGTGATTTCCCGTGGCTTCGCCAGGTCGTCGGTCTTGTGGAGGCTGAAGAATTGAAGCCAAACGACCTGGTAGGCGTCAACAAGGACTCGCTGTGTGGGTTTCCATTGGCTTCCAATCGAGTCACAATCAAGAACCCGGGTAAGAGGGTAGACCAAGCGGGTTTTGATGACTCAGAGTGGCTCCTTTGTGTTGCTTGATTGAAGTGCCTATGACTTTGGCCGTGGGGAATCTACAGGTTCACTCTATCCAAACAGTTGGACGCCTTTTTTCGTCAGCCGTATGTTACAGCTAGCAAAAAGGCTCCCTCTGAGTGATAAACGGGAACTACGAGAAGCCCTGGGCGATTGCCCTTCAGGAACCTTCCAAGAGCTCTTCAGTGCAGTTTTGTGTGTGTGTGTGTGTGTGCGTCGTGCATTTCCCCTGTGACGAAATTCTTTAGAGCCCCCCTGTACACAGCACAGTTGCTTTGCCTGCACAGCACTTTTGCTGCACCGAGTGCGGTGCCCATGTTTGCTAGCCCCCCGCCCCCCCCTCCCCAAAGAAACGCAAAAAACAAAATCAACAAGAGGAGCGCACGTGGTTGTGGTAAACACCCCACCCCGAAAAGATAATTGAGCCAGATCCTGGGCGGTTTGGCGAAACACCCGCCCTCCCAAGAGCAAAACAACAGGATACAAATCCGACACTTTTGGGAGTTCCGCTTCTTTTTCTTCAGTGTTCCACGAATGTGTTTCACTGCCACGTCTTTGGGCTGAGCTCAGAGCCTTTCTAAACAGCAAACAGCAGGGGTTCTAACTGTTTTGGAGTGCGGGTGACGGTGCGGGCGCGTAGTTTTGCAAGTTTACGGCAGGGTGCTAGGCGGCATGCAGTTAGGAGTGCTGGTGCAGGTGCTGCTTGAGGGCGCAGCTTTTGGGTTGCTGTTTGAGGTGCTGGTGACGTGCGGGCCCGGTTTTTGGCTGTTTGCAGGCGCTGTTCGGGGTGCTGTTGTACTGGTGCCAGTGCCAGCGCATTTAGCAGGGTGCAGGGGGCGTGCAGTTTGGCATGCTGGTGCAGGTGCTGTTTTGGGGCGCTGCGGGCGCATTTTTCCGAGATTGAGGGCAGGGAGGGGGCATGCAGTTCGGGGTGATGTGGTGCTGTTTTGAGGCCAAGTGCAGGAGCTTGGAATGGTTTTTACTCAAGATAGGTCCTCCAAGAAAACCAGCCATTGTACGTGGCGCCAAGCCGAGTGCCTGCGGCCATACTTTGATTTCCTCGGCCTCGTGTTCTCTCGGGGGTTGCCTTGTTGGGCGGCGGCGCACTCGGGGTGTTTTTCTGTTTGAGGGGTGCCGTTGAGGTGGCGACGGCAGAGAACTTTGCTTTAGGTTCTCTGCTTTAGCCTTTGGGGTTCTTCCTTCTAAAGAGGGTGGGGTTGGTTTCCATGTAACTTCCCTTTCAAGCTGATTCAAGCTTTCCAAAAGGTGCCCTTAACCACAGACCCGAAGTTCCGCAACCAGGATTCGTACCTGGTGCTGGACAAGCTGCCGCCAGAGTATGACTCCCGAGTGAAAGCCATGGAGGCGCCACGATCCGAACCTCACAGCCCGCGACGATCCCCAGCTGAAAGCTTTGGGGTCAGAACGCCCAGATAGGCTCCGGGGTCCGGGGCGGCCCTGAGGTAAGGTTCCACGAGGGTTCCGCCAGGGTTCAAACAGGGTTCCACGCGGTTCTGCGAGGGCTGCGGGGTGGTGCGAGCACTAAAAAGAGCACCGCATGCTGTTGGGGATACCACCAGAGCTTGTTTTTCAACGCCGGGTGGGTGTGAATTTCATTTCGGGACGGACATCATCCTTGGTGGGGAGTTAACATTTATTTTCTCCACCAACCACTGTTTTGAGCTGAGCTTGTGGCAAATTTAGGCACCGTCATTGTTCATAGTCTCCCCCGTGACATGGGGAGTTTGGAGTGCCTCTGAGCATTGTCCACCAGAAAAAACAAAGTCTTTGGCCCCGCCAACAGTCATGCCCCCCCCCCCGAGTTGTATACTTTTTTTGATGATACGAGCACGGTCAGCAAGGACACCACCCATTTTGGACGGTGTACAGGCGGAGAATGTAAGCACCCCTCTCGTTTTTCATCATTCATGGTGTCCCTCCTTTGACGTGGGAATTCGGTGAGTACTGTAACTCCGAGTTTCTTTTGGTAATTTGAAACTGGGTACTGTGTGTACTGATGTCGTTCCTGACGGTAAATATTGACCATGGCACATGTCAGGTGTACGGAATCCATGGGGATTGGTGTCTCTTTTAATGACCACCCCAGATCTGAGGAGCACCTGTTGGATTCTCCTCAAGACTAAAAATGTTTAAAACCTAGTACATAACATAAACCAAACAAATCCTTCAAGGATTTCTTGGTCTTGGATTCCCTTTACCAGTGCCTTTGGGCCCCCTTTTTTGTTTCTTGGTTCACAAGCTCACCGACTCGGAGGTACCAGCGATTCTCGTGGTCCATCTTCCCTACCTCCAGTGGAGTCATGGTAATTTGTCCGGTGGGTTGCCTTGGCTTCCCTCTAATTGGCTTGGTTTGGATGGGTACCTTCCCGTTTTGGCGTCAAAAAGCCGGGCCTGAAATCCCCAAATCCCTCTTTGCCTTTAGTTTGAGCCCAATGAGAGGATTTGAGTGACGGTTCAACACTCGCTTGCCTTGTCGGGACTTAGGGACCTCCAAGGTTCCATGGGGAGGGCTGGCCCGTTGACACGGAACCCACCAGGGGGTCTTCCAGGACCTTCCCCCCGCTTGTCCGTTTCGGTTCCATGTGGCGAGACCCGAAGCTTCTCACCCTCTTCTCGATCCTGGGGAAACATGGCTTAAGTTCCAGCGAAAGATGGGTTCTTGAACAGACCGATGAGCAGTCTTTCGACATTTTCGCGGACATCCGGTCCAGTAGTTCCAAGAGGGCTTTATATGTAGAACTACCAAACCCCCCAGATCAAAACGGCCGCTGTTGAAGGCGCAAGACTCGAGGCAACAATGGCGAAACGATGGTCGTAAGTCCAGCCGTGCCTTTCTCATGTCACAACACACAAGGCACCTTCCCGCAGAAAGAACAACGAAACTTCAGCATGAACTTTCGAGATCACCCGGTCTGTGTTTTTTTTGTTTTTTTTTGTTTTTCCTGTTTTTTTCAAGGGCTGGACTTGTTGTGCTTTGCGTTCTGGCTCGCATATTGACAAGTCGCATGTTGGACAGAGGTCTCCAGTGCGTGTTAAGAGCAATACGGGACGGGCTGGGCGCTTCCCAAAAGGGGGGGGTGCAACCCAGGACTGTGGGGGGCCTTTTTCGGGCTCGGTTGATGTTCCTTTTTTGTGCCGACACATGTCAGAGACATGGCCTGGAGCCCTCTCGTGACCAAAAAAAAAGGGAATCCCGAATTTTTCCGTTTGGAAAAAACACAGGTGGACATGCATCTCCGAGTAGATGCTGTTCAGGGAGAGAAGGGTTGGGGGCCCAAAGTCGTTTCTTTGGAGAAGGGATCCGAAAGCTGCTTTCTTAGACCAAAAATTCGGGCGGGGCAAGAGTTTCTTCCTTGAAGCGCCAGAAATCCTCATGCGCTCGCGGTCCAATGGTCCGTGCCAAGTGCATTCCGTCAGGTGGACGAACGGCCCACGGATCAATACAGCGACATCGGAGGCTTAGAGAAGCGCCTTGCCCGTGACCGGATTTCCTGGGGGCTCCGAGCTGAAAGATCCCATTGGTAGACAAGGTCCATTTTTCTCGACCGGCAGCCTAAATCGACCGCCTAAATAGACCTCGCAAACCGCCAAAGGTAGACATGAGTCACTTGCTCAAAACCCGGGTAAGCGGCTAGCAAGGGACAATTGCCACAAATAGTGGCGGATATCCGCCTGCTTAATTCTTGAAGCATTCTGGGTCGCAGTTTTTAAGACCGAGCTTTGATTATGACTAGCACGGGTTTCGCATTTTTCTCTTGGGTTTCCCGAAGCCTCTAAGCCTTGGCCCTTGGTTTTGTTTTGGAGCCCTGACATGTACCAATAGGGACTTGGGGCATGTGTCCTGGGCTTCAGTTCATCGGTGAATAAGTGTTTGGGTGTTGTTTTACATGGCTGAAGGACCCTACCACTCCAGCGCCCCGGAAAGGTTTGGGCCCAGTTTGGCCGTTGGCCTAAGTGAGGCAGGGTTTATCTGGTAAGTAATAAACATAATGTTGTAGCTTCCATAAACTTGCTCCTCAGTAGGCGAATGACCCAGGGTTTTGGGAATGAACCTGGGGATTCCCTTCAAGGACACCATGGGGATGGTTTTTTCTCGGTCATTCCAACTCATTCCCCTATCGAACCAGCAAGTAAAGGACAGGAGATGGCTGTTGTATTTTCCAAAGCTCGGTCGGGGGGAGGCTTTTGGGGGCAAAGACCCTTGCTTGGTGCAGCTCGCGATGCAGCGAATGTCCTTCGGTTGGAGGTCTTTGGTAGATGTCATTGATTTATCTTTGTGCCTTCCATGTGCCTTTAAACGGAAGGAGGCTCACTGGCTAATACAAACGAGCCATCGCCTCGGGGAGCTTTTGGTATATGGCAGGAGCTTTACCTTCGTACAGTTGTTTCTATTGGTGGCCTGTTAGCATGGTATGCCTATAAATTGCGAGTGTAGCCAGATGAGCAGCTTGCACATCCCCGCCTTTCGCGAAACTTCATGCTATCAATGTTACCAACAGAACAAATCAGTAGTAGCCAGGGTTGATACAAGCAAACAGTCAATGCTTCTCTCTCATTCTCTCATTCTCTCATTATCTCATTCTCTTATTCTCGCTTTCTTTGATTCTTTCGTTCTTTCTCCATCCCTCTCTCCCTCTCTCTTTCTCTTTACATTTCTGTTTCTCTTACTTTTTGCCCATCTCTCTTTCCCTTTCTCGATTTTCTTTTTTGTTTCTCTCGCTTCCTCTTCGTCTCTCCCTCTTTCTCCTTCTCTTGATTCGTTTCTTTGTCAGGGCGACATTTGAAGGGACTCACCTCTTTCGCGGCTGTCCCCGAGCAACGGGCGACCATCACTCCGACGTTTGCCCGCGGGCCCGAGGCAAATTCAGGAACTGCAGGAGGCGGGACTCCGCCGCCTCTTGGGGGACCTTTTGGGTGGCTCGTCTTTTCTTGGAGTTGGGTGGGGTACCCCCTTTCGGTGGGTTTTGAAGGCAAAGCAAAAATGGAAGAGCCCACCCATTTAGGGGGGCCCCTACAAAAAGAGTAACCCGTGTGAAGAGTCATGTGCTCCAAGCCTGAAGGTTTTACTTGCTGAACCTAGCACATGTTTTCTGGCTGGGAGTTCTTGGAAGTCTGGGGGCCGTTGGGGTCAACTGGATGACCTGGTCCACATGCGGTGAGTGACTCCATGGCGCGCGCGATGAAACCCCCCCCATTTAGAGGGCAACAGGGCCATCTTGGATACCCGGTCACGTGAGCAAAGTGAGAGCATCAGAACCATCTTATTGGCAAAGGGGTTTCGTTTGCTGCGTACTTCTTGCCAGCTTCAAGCATTTTAAGCCGAGTTGGGCGCGCAAACCGCAGACATGTCTGGGGTTCCGCGTCTTTGCAAGCGCACGGTTGTTTTGGCGAAGGTTGCTTCGGTTTGTCAAAGATGAAGCACGACCAAAGTCTGCGACCACATGTTTCTGCGAGCTCTCCTGAGGTAAACGGAGCCATGCCCAAACTAGCGGCGATCCTTCACTTGGGAATGCCAGGTGTAGTTGGTTGTCATTGCCAGACTTATCTTACCGAAATCGGCGTTTTGCAACTTTTGGTTTCCCGACACGTTTTCCCAGCTGCTGAAAGCTATGGGGTCTTTGCCCAGATAGGCTTTGGGGTGGTTTGGGGCAGCTTTCAAGGAGGGCTCCCTCGATTGTCCACAACATTTTGGACTCACGTGGTCTGTTGGACAGATGACAGGCTGAACGCCGGTAGTTGATATGGTGACCGCTACGCAGCACTGGCCCTAGCGGGTGACCAAGGGTGTGTGGTTTCCTTGCAGTATTTCAAGGGCCTTCTGGGGATCATTGTAGGGGGGAGCACTAAGGAATTGTCGCAAAGTAGGGGAAGTCCAAAAAAAAAAGAAGGCGGCAGTCCTTTTGATCTCCCTTCCAGCAAGCCTACAAAAGGGTGCCCTCCCAAAACGGCCCGCCTGAACTTGGTTTTTCGCCCATCCTCTTGGCTTGGCTTTTTGGGTTGCTTTTTTTTGTGGGGTTTAACTTGGTTCCCGGCCATCCTCTGGGCTTTTTTTTTGAGAACTGGAAGCCCCAGTTCACCCACTCGCCGCCGATCAAAGCGGCCCGCCCGCCATGGGATCAGGCCATTGTGCTTCCCATGACGCACAAGGAGCGCTTTGAGAATATCGGCATCATGCCGCCCAAGGGCGCGGGGGGGGGCCGGGGCGCGGAAGGGAAAAAGTGCCGTAAGGGGGGGTTTTCGGTGAAGGGTGGGCTGAGGGTTAAGCAGATTCAGAGGGGTGTGTGTGTGTGTGTGGGCTTTTTCTGTTCCATGGGCACTTACGGTCAGAGTCAAAGCCTGAAAAGCCGTCGCCCCAAAGCAAGGCTGCAACTTGAAATGTCCACAGGCTTCCCGAAGTTCAAACCTGTTTCCTGGAAATTCAAACCCTCCCCAGCAAAGGGGGGCTTTTGGGACCTCAGCGGATTCGGATTTCGATTTGTTCACTGAAGTAGAATTCCCATGACCATCTTTGAATGGCGGCGAACTCGCCGGATCCAAAACATGGTTGCTAGCGTGGTTTTTCCAACCCTGAGGCTGCTTAGGTAATTTGTTGCTTTTAGTAAGGAAGCAATGAACCACCAAGCATTGCATTGGTTTATGAAATGGTAAAACAAAGACGGGACCCCGCGCAAGCTGGATTCAGGCTTCGGGGTTTGGCTTATTCTCACTCCCTCAGTTCCTCCGCATTTTTTTGCGGCAAAACATAAATTCGGGTACTTGTTTGGCCAATCCACTTAGTTTGGACGTGAGGATTTTGTGGAAAACGGGTTTACTTTGGGGAGTGAACTGGGCTTGTCTCCAAATTTTGGGGCCCCGGCCATTTTTTGGGGTGGATGTCGGAAAGCCACCCCTCTAGGGGTTGATTCCTTTTCCATTCTTTTCAACCATCGTTCTTTTCAAAGGTTTTGTAGAAAGAAGGATGCCTGGAAAGAATGGAGATGGAAGACAGCCCCCAGAAACCCACATTGGGTAGCCTCAAAACCGCAACTTCTCGACTTGTGACCCCAAACTGGCGTCTTTCCCGAGCAGGTGTGCTGATGCACGGCCCGCCGGGCACCGGCAAGACCATGATGGCCGCTTGGCTCCGCCATTCTTGAGCAACGTGGAACCCCAGACCCAGCCGCAAGGAGGTCTTAAGGATGAAACTGCCGGAATTTTGGGATTAAATCTGCAAATTAAACAAAGTCCGGGTGGAAAGCCAGTGCTACTTTCTGGAGGGCAATTTGATCCTTGCCTTTCTCCGGGTCTTGAAACATGCACCACCCCCCCTACAAACATATATCACCCCCCCCCCCCGGTCTTGAAATATATGGCCCCCCCAATGGGTTTGAAGCGGGTGTCATCCACAATTGTGCATTTCCCCATTTGCCCCAAAGGAGACCGCCAACCGCGCCCCACCAAAACCCCCAAACCGCCGAACCCCGAGAAGCCAAGGCCCGCGCCTGCGCCGCCGCCACCAGCGCCACCTTCCTGAAGTTGGCGCAGACCTCGGAGACGTCGCCACGTCGCGACGTGCGGCCGGGCCTTTGTGGCGGGTTGCCACCCATCTGGGTGCTGCTGAAATGAAGATCTTTGTTTGTTTTCCCCTTGTTGGTCCAAAAAGGGACTTGATCGTTTGTTTTATCCTTCTTAATTTTTGCCCTTGTTGGTTAAGCAAAGGGGCTCGATTTCACTACTGGACACATATTTGTATTTTTTGTTGGCAAGGGGGCTGAAGCAAGTGGACATTTGGTTGGATCTTTGGACTTTAACTTTCTGGCTGAAACCGGTCGGATTTTCCGAATTGGACCCACAACAAGTGAATTGTTTTGTTTTGTTGTTTATTCAGAGGGGGGTCAATACCAAGCAAGCTGCGGGTTGCTTTCTCGGACAGTTTAGCCACAATCAAAACCTGGGTAGAAGGCAAGTAAGGGATCCCAAACCATGAATAGGTGCGGATATCCGCCTTTTGAGCCCTTTCATTCGTTTGGGCGCTCCATAGTACCAGGATTTGATTATACCTCATGTCCTTTGCAATCTCATTCTGCTCATTTGTGGCGCTTGAAGTTAGTCATGCTGAGGATCCTTAACCCGCATCTCATGATTCCTGAGCGCACCGCCATGGGCCAAGACGTTTGGACCGCGGTCTTTGCGGCTAGGCGGGCCCCCAGCTGGTGCAGATGTTCATCGGCGCGGGCCTCGGAGCCCCGGAACGAGCCTCGGAGCCTCGGAATTGGAGCAAAAGCTACGAGGCAGCCGAAGCGGGGGCCGAAGCAAGTCTTTTTTTTCTCGGTTTTTTGAATCAAGGGCCAAAGACTGACCACGAAGATGTTTTTGGGCATCATATTTGGTCATTTTTTTTTGAAAAAAATAAATAATTAGGGAGTGACTGGTTGGATGATTGTCGACCACCAAGCTCATGCTACAATTCTCTGCAATCCTTTGCCTTTCACCTCTTCTGCACCAGAGTGATGGCACAATTGCGCATACTTTGGTGAGTAAAGTAAAGTGGACGACCAAACCCGACTACTGTCACCCAACTGTACCATGCCTCTCAGAGATCCGCCGCTGCCGCTTTAAGCTTGTCGCCGTGTGTCGAAATCAGACACTTCCAACAACCAACTCTAGGGTCTGGTGGAAATTCACATAAGGTGCGCTATATGTGCAGAATCAAACATCTACTTGTTGTCAGTCTTTATTATCGTATGTTTGGTTGGCCAAGACTCGCAAGAAGCAAAGCAGAAGGGGCAGGATATGTCCGAGCGCGGGAGGTCAAGGGGCTTGACGGGGTTGGGCCGCGCACTACACGTTCCTTCACGGACAAGTGACTTGTTTGCGGCAGACGCTTGTTGACCTTGGCATCCCAGTTACAATGATTTGGGGCCAAGCCCCTCGTTTTTATTTTCGAGGTCAGCCCTTTCCATGTTGTGGCACCATGCAGACCCCGGGCTGGGGGAACAAAATGCCAGGTGCGCCAGTTGCAGCGAGAGTCGTGATGCAGAAGACATTCCAAGGGTCCTTTTCCAGGGTAATGGAAACCAATAAACTGAGAAACCAAATGAATGGTGTGACACATCACATCCGCTTTGCGTCAGTAAGATTGATCGGGCAAGAATTCGGACACCAAGCGATAAAACATGAACCCGGAATATGACAGACATGGCAGATGAATCCGGTTCTTGCAGAAATGATGCGCATCCCCCTACTTTGGATTTACCAGGTTAGACGGAACGCAAATACCAATACCAATCTGTGAGGATTTGCCGGTTGGCCGTCGTTTTGGCAGACTGGATGGGCAGGTGACGGTGCCAAGATTGTGCGGGACGCCTTCGTCTTGGCAAAGGAGAAGGCTCGAGCGGGGGAGATTGGGCATTTGGACTTGGCACTTTTCGTTTTTGTTTGCTGAGCGGCAAATGCCCCTTCCCCCCCGATTTTTGTTTTGCCCTTTTTGGAAACCAAGGGGATGGTTTATGGTTTTTCTTGTTCAGTCTTTCCAGGCCTATTCAGCGCAGCCTGCGACTTTCCGCATGCGCCTGAAGGGCGAACTTCGGCATGCCGAGCAATTTAGTTTGTTTCTGATTCGGCAGGTCCGAGATTGGGAGGCACCGTTGCCGGGGATGGATGGTTATGGGGTCCCCTTGCCATCTTCTTTTTTAATGAAAGGCAAAGCCCACTGCGCACGGGGTTGCGCCGCAGTTGCTTTCTTCAGCTGGTAAGGCCAGCTCGCACAGCGCGCGTTTGGCCCAAAAAACCCACCACCCTGGATCCCCACAACCCTAACTCGCCGCCAGGATCTGGAGGTTTTCCTTACCCTCTCTCCCAACGATGCTGGTGAGGGGGGCTTTCAAAGGAAAGCCTTGGCCTTCCCTCGTCATCCCCGAGTCTTGGAGGGTAAGGGACGGCGGTTCTTAGTGAGTTGCTTTGCCGCGCAGTCCGGTGCAGGACTTGTAGCCGTAGCCGTAGCCGTGCAGGACTTGTAGTCCGGTGCAGGACTTTGCGAACAAAAACACAGGGCCCCCTCAAGAGAGACGAGCTTAGAGCGCGTCCCGTAACGGCAGTCCTCTTCCTTGCCCTCTTTCCAACAATGGACGTGGACAGGCTTTTGGGCGACCATCTTTACAAAAATTGCGAGGCGCCCCAAAAAAACAAAGTTTCGGGGTGAATCTCTTTCTTAAAGAGTAAGAAGTATTCGTACACTGGCTTGGATAGTGCCGTGAATCTAGATAGAAAAAGCAAGGCATGCGGCGTAAACTTTGGATCATGCGGCTTGCCTCCCGGATGAGTCGATCTGCTCCCTTGGTCTTCCCTTGGGACCCGCAAAAGCCAGGGCCCTTCGATCCGATTTTGATCTTGGCTTCAAGCGGAACTTCGGCCCTAGGACCCTGCTCTTCCAGGGTCCTGGAAGATCAAGGGATATAAGAAAGCAAGATCTATGTGTAGAAAAGCAACTTGGCTCATGCCAAACCTCCCAGATGACTCGATCTGCTCGCGTGTTTTTCCTTCCCCGTCTTTTTCGCGCATCGATCGATGCAGGCGCCGGCCATCATCTTCATCGACGAGCTGGACGCCATCGGGCAGAAGCGCTCCGGCGGCGGGGAGCTGTCAGGCGCCGATCGTTCGATTGCGCGAATCCGCGTGCGACGTGGCCCAAGAAGCCATCGGGTACCATGCGGGTAGCTGAACTTCACACCGTTTTTGCCTCGAGTTGCTTTGTTTTGTTGTTTTTTGGGTTCTGTGCATTTTTGGGTCAGCAGGGCTGCAAAAAGCCAGGCTCATTTTTAGTAGGGGGCTGCAAAAAATAGAGTTGTTTGCTACCATACTGTTTGGGTTGTGGAGTTGAAGGGCTTTCCTTTACCTACTGTCTCCAGGTTTGAAAGGGAAGAGTGACTTTGTGTCTCGAGCGCAAGCATACGCCTTTCCGAAAACTTACGGAACCTGCCACGAAGAGGAAGCTTGACAGGGGCAAACAAAGAGGACGGAGAGTTTGGACACGCATTGTATGTTTGAGATTGGTTAGTGGCCGCTTCACTATGGTCGGCTGAGAATTTTTAAGCTGCATGGAAGAAGGGAACTTCTGGCTCACTCTCACATAGGGAGTTCCATCCACAAAGGGGTACAGGAACACCATCCGTTTGTGAACAGGGATGGTAGTAGGAACACCTCTAACTCCTATGCAACATGGTGGCATGCTGCCGATATCAGAGTAGTTCATCCCACTTGCACCCCCCATGGGCCCTCAACACTATTTGCTGCCATGTAGATCTCTTCTGGTCAACCAGAAACACGTTATTTTTTATGGAAAGACACCCGCAGACCTTATTCTTGGTTTTTCGGGGCGGGGGGCAAAAGCAAAGTAGTCCTGAAGTTTCGGCACGGATCCCCTCCCCCCAAACAGCAAAAGAGCAAAGGGCACACTGGGGGAAAAAATCCACTAACATGAACAGGTCCCAAATCAAAGGTACACCCACCTCATTCTGAGAACCCCTTGAAAGTGCCGCCGTGTTTGCGGCCTAGACCTGTTGCTTTTCTTCGTGCCTTTGAAGCCCTCGGTTCTCTTCCTTGGTGCCTTTCCTTGGTTCCGACTGGGCGACAGCTTTTTTGGGCACCTTTTTCCCGGCGCCTCCGAAACGCCCAGGTTCTTGGGGCTCCCTTTTCCTTGCTTCCCACCATTCTTTGCCGCTTTTCGCTTCAGCTGGGATCTGGGTCGCGGCATGCCTGGGCGCATGCGGCGCATGCCCTCATGCCCTGCGCCAGGTGTGCGGGAGGTGCAGCGCACGATGCTGGAGCTGCTGAACCAACTGGACGGCTTCACCAATCAAACCACCGTGAAGATCATCGCCGCCACCAACCGGCCGCTCGCTGGGCGTTTTGGATTGGAGCGAAGCAAACACACTTCCGGTGCCGCGCAACAAAAAAAGGGCCCCGGCGGCCCTTTTTTTGTTCTTTCGCGGAAAGGACCATGTTGCGGTTTACCGTGTGGAAACATTCGCTTCTGCAAGAGTCGGGGATTTTTTGAGGATGCACTTGATGGATGCAAGAGAGCCATTGGGTCCAAATACATTCTGCGATCAGTAGCATTTCTTTAGACCCTCCATCTAACACCTGGCTGTGCTTCCGAAACATATTATTTTTGCTGGGCTCCGGGCATTTTCCTTCCGAAGGTTGGCCAAAGGCCGAGCTTGTGGGTTTGGAGCCCTCGGGTTTCTTTTGAGAGAGTTGGTGTGGCTTGGTCCTGCTTTCGAGGAACCTCCTTCCCCTCCCTTTCGGATTCCCCGTAGACAGACCCATATTTCCCCACCAACCGGTCGAGCGTGGGGATCGTGTCTACCCACTCAAGGCCCTTTCATCGCGCTCCCAGAGCTCTTGGGTAAACCTGGGGTCTTCTCCAAAACCAAGGGAGTCTGAATGTGAAGCAGAACATCTGACCACATGGGGTGTGACTTTTTTTAGGCAATCCCGTTTGGGTTTTAAAGGAAGACCAAGCGCAAAAACCGGGCAACTGGGTATGTCTTTTTGTTGTGGGTCATCCGACTTTTTGGTTTTCGTTGGGGCAAGACTCCAACCAAAGAACCCAACGCCGGCCCAAGCCATTTGGACTCGAACCGGCCGAGTCGAAGCTGAAGGCCGGACACCTTGGACCCCGCGCTGCTGCGCTCCGGGCGCCTGGACCGCAAGATCGAGCTGCCGCACCCCAATGAGGACGGGAGACGAAGCGAGCGAGCGGGGTGGGTGGGGTCGATGCGCAGAGATTTTGGATTTTGGCCGTGGAAACCGGGCGGGCGGCTCTTGTCATTTTATCATTTATTTGTTTTTTGTGTTTTGGTTTGGGGAGGGGAGGACCCCGTTTTTTTTGGTTGGTTTGTCTTTCTTTTCTTTTTTGTACGGGGAGGGGGAACCCCTTGTTGATTGGTTTTAAAGTGAAAGCCACCAGGAAAAGAACACCACTTTGGTTCAACCATTTCGGGTGGGGGCCCTAAAACAAGACACGCCCAAATACGGTTGTTTTTTTGAGGCTCACCCTTTGTGAGGTTAAGGTCTTTTGAGGGGTCCGTTTTGAGGCGCACTTTGCATTGGGGTGTGGAGCAGGGATGGTCATACCGATTGGCCTCCCAAAGCTGCATGGTCATGTCGTCCGTTCATATGTCGATAGTCCACATCCAATGCGTTTGAACAAAGGCGAAAACCCATGGTTTCCCTAGAGAAAGGGTCAATGAGGAAAACCAGCGGGGCCCTCCAGTGATTTCTACTCGATCGCTGAGACCTGACAGATTTCTGCCCAGTTGGAGTTCAAGTGGCAGTTGGGTGAAAGTAGATGCCAGTGTTTTTTTCATTTTGACCCAGTCGTCCCCTTGAGAGTTGATCCTAGCAACTGGGTGTGGTTCAATATTTAGCCTGCTGTGGTTACGCAATTTGGCCTTGGTTTCCGCATACTAGGGGCGCCATTTTGGGTGCACTTCTTGAGCCCTGAGGATCCAAGTCGCCCTGAGGATCCAAGGCAGCCAAAAAGGCGGACTTGTTCCGAGGACGTTTTTTCTCCGCAGGATTCCCGGGCGCGCATCATGCAGATCCACTCGCGGAAGATGAACTACAAGAAGGCGGAGGGTGGGTTAGTTTGGTTAAATAGGTTAAACATACCCATGGGAAACACCTTAAGGTGTTTTGTTTCCATTAAGTAGGTTAAACCTTGATTAACCAAGCCATATTTTTTTAAGTTAATTTGGTTAAACATAGAAGGCATTGGTTCCATAGGGCCATCGATTTTTCCAAAAGGACACCTATGGCGAAGCCTCGCGGTGTGCTTTTGGTTTCTGTCTGGGTCCGATCGATGGATGTTGGGGGCGCCATGACTTGCTTTGAGACCCCCGAAGGCAACTGGGCGGGGTTCGGGGAGGGACACCAAGGGTCCCTTTGAAAGCAGCGTGCGTGCAGGCGGGTGGGGTTTTGCGTGACCCCGTAGGCTTCCATCAACCGTGGACGGCTTTCTTTCTCTGCTTTTCAATGGCAAAAGGGTGCGGGGACTGTTCCATGGAAATGGGACACCAAAAAACATTGTGTATTTCGCTGGAGTGTTTCCCATCTCGGGGATGCGGATCACTGGGAGAGATCACCCTATTACTTCACTAGGACTATTTCCCTTTTAAATCCTAAGGTCCTTTGAGTGGACAAGCGTCTCTGCCGTTGCCAGGATGACGTCAACTTCACAGAGCTGGCCCGGTCCACAGACGACTTCAACGGAGCCCAGCTGAAGGCACAACGGATGCCTCGGATGGCTCTTTGACATTCCCAATGAAGTGAGGAGGAACAAGGCAAAGCAGGTGGCTGCAAATCGACGTCTTAGGGTTGTCTTAAAGAGACCTCAGAGGTGTTCCCTTTCGAAACGGGCAGGGATCTTGAGGGTCTCCAAACAAATTTTCGTAGTGGGAAGATTGGGCCATGGGTCATGTGAGCACCCCAATGTGGCTGGAAACAGGGAGTTTAAAGGGGAACCGCACACCCAATCCCAATTTCAATTTTGGGGATCCAACCCATCAACATCGCACCTGTTTTTTTTCCTCCCCCCCCTAAAAAAAAAGAAAGAAAGAGCAAACAGCAACAACAACAGGGGTCCACCCCCCCCACCCCGGCCCCACACGAGCTTCGCGCCTGTTCTTCCTCTTCCTTTTTTTCCTCCTCTCAGGCAAGCCTTAATTGGTGGTTTGGATTGCTTTGGGTATGGATTTGAAGCCCTCCTCAACCACCAAACCACCAATCCAAAACACAAGTTCCAGGGAAGCTGAGTATGGCCTTATGTAACTTATGACCCTTCCAATCTTTCGACCCATATATTGATTGCCCCAACAAGAATGTTTGGCGGAAACCGTTCCACCACCAAAGTCACCGATTCGGCTCCGTTTACCGAAGCGGGGGAAGCTGGATCGATCAGGCGGTGTGTGTGGAGGCGGGCATGGAGGCCCTGCGCCGGGGCGCCAGCGAGCTGTGCCACGAGGCGCGCGGCGACTCTTGGGGACCCAAAAGGCCAACTGGCCCGTGGTCTTTTTGCGCAGGACTACGTGGCCGGCATCGCGGCGGTGCAGGTTCGGGGGCGCCGGCGTTGCAAGCTCCGTTGGCATTTGTTCGCAGGAAGGAGCATTTTAATACTGTGGATGGACAAACTCCAGCACCACCTAAGTCACCAAGAATCCCTGGAATGATGATTCCCCCGCAAATACCAACAAACAATGGTTTCCATGGTTTCGAAGTGGTGCAGGATTTTGTCCTACTGTGGCGAGCATCGATCTAAGTGTGTCCTTCTGTGCCACTTTTGAAGGGACGACAGGAACGACACAGTAATTTTTTGGGGAGCCCCGAAATTCAGGAAAGACACACCCACATCGATGTAGAATGATGTCCAGCACATTGTGCTCACCGGAGATCGCGGGCATCTGTTCATCAATTGGGTTTCCATGTTGTCTGCTTGCCTCACCTTGAGGATAAACGGAACGAGCTGGCCCCACAAAAACAGAAGTTTGTCCTCCCGCAAGTCATTCGGGGTCTTTTGTTCAAATCTTTGGTGCTCGGTACTCAGTAAAAGTCAGACCCATTGTCAGGTCTCCAAACCACCAGAAGGTCCTGTCAAGAGGAACACCATGTCCACACTGAGAAGCTCCTTCCATCTTCCATGAACACTGGGATGGGAGGACAAGCATTTCGTACCCATCGGCAGCTTGCATATGCCCAGATCTGGCTGTGGGTCAAAAATAGGAATCCCCAAAATGGAACCCTGGTAAATGGAAACTTGGACTACAACCTGCGGTCCAACTTCTGGTGGTTTAATTTTGACCCAAAATTAAGTCACCCGGGGACCGCAAGTTTTAGTCTACTTTTCAAGTTCCCAGGGTCCCCTTTTGGGGATTCCTATTTTTGACCCACAGCCATCTGCTCAGCACATCTGTTTGCCACTCCAAAAATGTGCCACAGCCAATCTGGTGTGAGGCAAAGAAGAAGAGCAGCTTCAACTACTACGCCTGAGAGCGCGACGGTGAATCCATGTGGACAGATGCCGTGCAAAGAAAAAGGAGAAGTCTGCTTGTCTTATTTATGGTTGGTGCTTTGTCTGGGATGGACATCTTATTGCAGGAGGAGTTGTTATCCTACTGTCCGCTAACATGGAACCCACCAGAGACTGTCCCTTGTCAAGGAAAATCGTCTTGCAGGACTCTTGCATGTTAAAGTGGACGAGAGGGTAAAAAAGAGCTGCAGATTATTGGGAGGCTCTTCAAAGTGAAACCTGCCTTACCGATTCACGAAAGCTTCGGTAGGGCTCAGCTAAACCAAGCCAGGGCTTGACTTGTGGATGCACTCCCACCACTGGGTGGGTCAAGAGCTCTCAGATCGAGCTGGAAAAGGAAACGCACACGGGACGGACAAACTTGTTTTTTGCTTTCGAACAAATACACAGAACGGGGTAGAGCGGAACCACCGGATGTCAAGAACAGCAAGCACTTGTAAACAAAGACATGCAGAACAGCATGTTCTTGTAATTCTCTGAAAAGGAAGCCAGAATGGACGGGTTCCGATCGCTTGTGGAGTCCTTGGATTTGTGGCTGCTGGATTCGAAGATCTCCTTCCGTGGCACCCTGACTTGGGCCAACTGGAGTTCTTCGCAAGCGAGAAACTGGAAGAGGACACACCAAGCGCAGGAATCCCAGCTGAAAGACCCCGATCAAAAGTCAAATAGTTTAGTCAAACTGGTTAAACATGAGGCAACCATTTTGTGATACTTAGGAACTCCCCGTTCTCAGGGACAAAGTAGTCATAGGAATCAATCGCTGTATCACGGAAAGGGGCTCGCCCGCGTTCAGCCTGACCCGAGCGAGTCACTCAAGTAATGAGAACACCCAAGGAGTGGAGGAGCTTGTCAAATGGGTGTGGGTCAAAATTAAGCCACTAGGGGACCGCAGGTGTGATTCCATGTTTCCATTTACCAAGGTGCCATTTTGGGGATTCCTACTTTTGACCCACACCCAAGGGGTCTGAGCAAGGGGTCTGGGGTCTGGGGTCCGACCAAGCCCGCCCCTCAAAGGGGTGATTTCCAAATGGATGTTTTGGGCTTTCATGTTTTGGACCAGCTGGATGGGTCCACGTTTCAGCTTGGTTCGAATCATTCAACAATCCGCATATTTGTCAAAAAGGCCTAGGCTCACAAGACTACCAAGCAGCGCGACCGGCGGTTTGATTTGGCTCAGCTTGGCAGTTGGCTGTCGGCTGTCGTAATGAGCCTCGGCGCAAAGCGACTCCCCCCCCCAGAAGAAACTAAACAGTACCTGGACCCCCAGTTGCCCTTATTCTCAGCTACTTTTGCCAAATTATGGGCTACTAGTGGGTAAAGTGGCTAGAGAAAAGTGGCTACTTGGGGATCCAGGTAGGTCCTTCAAAAGGGCGTCTCCTTGCCCCGGAAATGAGCTTCTTCCAACAACTTGCATTTGATTTGACCTTGTCGATGTGTCCCAAACAACCTGAAAACCGTCCTGCTGGGAAATCTTTGAGAGGAAGGGAATCCAGAAAGCAAGGGAATGTATCTAGTCAACTTGTGGCAAGGGCACTTGTAGATTCTTTGTGAATCAGCTCCTGCGCTGGGATGTCGATCCCGGAAGTCGATCCGGGATCGACTCCCAGCTGTTTTTTTTCACTCATTTGGTGGAAAACGAAAGGGCAACACGCCGACGAGTTGATTGCACCAGACACGTTTTTTTTCTTCCCCCGAGGCGTGTTGTGGGTGTCGAACCAGATCAATACACTTGGCGGATACATAGACTCCTGGGTTCGTTTTTTGCTCAGTTGGGTGGATTTGGGTCCCCGGTCCCAATCGAAAACGAATACAACCCGCGTTTTTTCGCCCTTTTTGTTTCTATGGGCAAATCGTTTCGTGAACTGAAAACAGCGACTCAAGGGGTGAAAGAGTGCGCCATGCAAAACTGGAGGGCCCTGTTGCTTAGCCACACCTCTGCTGTTTTTGCCTGGCCCTGTTTGTTTGAATCCCCTTCGGGGAGTTTCTTCTGCACTGGCTGCAACCAACCGGTGCGATGAGTCGGACTTCATCGAACCCCTGCTCCGAGAAGTCCAAGTTTCGCCTCGCCGGACTTGCAAGAAGCCCGAGTTCTTTTGACGCCACTCCGGAAGGCTTGCCAACCATAGACCCCACCCAACCGCGGCTTCGGTGGCGTCACTCTTTTTTTGAGGCTCCTCTTTTTGGGGCTGGTTCTTCAAGGGAACAGCCAACTTCGGACGTCTTTTATTGAGGGTCCCCTTTTTGGAGCTGGTTCAAAGGGAAATGCCACCCGGAAAGCCACTCTCGTTTTGGGGCTCCCAGTCCCCAAACACCAGAGACACGGTGGGTCCGGGTGGCCGGGTGGCGGGCAAGGAAGTGCCTGGCGCTGCTGCTGGTGCCGGGTGTGGCCCTGAAGGCGAGCGAGCGTGGGGGTTGGATCGGGGGGCTTGGTGGGGCGGGTCTTTTTCGTTGCGAGCGGCGGGGCAGGTTGGGGCAGGTAGATCCCCAGCGGCCAAAATGATCTTCCAGCTACTTTTGCATCAAACTATGGGTTACTAGTGGGTAAAGTGGCTGGGAAAAAGTGGCTACTTGGGGATCCAGGACGGCGGGTGAATGAATGAGCCGGTGGTTTTGGGGGATTTTCGAAAGGAACCCGCAGGAACGAACATGTGAGTAGCAGCGGGTGGGTTGTTTCTCTTTCCCGGCTGGCGATCGATCGGGGAGGAATTTTCGAGTTTGGGTGTTGGCTGAACCGGTGGAAGGGGATACCCGAAAGGAGACCACCCGTCGGAGGGTTTTTCTGGGGGGTCATTCCATTTCTCCTTCGCATCTCTCGCACCAGCCAGATTTTCAAAGGCGGTCCATGAGTTTCCGTGACTTGGACTGTAGGCAGCTCAATTTTCGGTTTTGGAATGTTTGGTTGCCATTTTAGTGGTGAACAAGAAGTTCTTTGTTTTTTTGTGTTTTTTTTTGGCGGGGGAGGGTTGAACTAATCGGTGTATTTCGTGGCCCGTCAAGAAGGCACAGGTGCCGCGCAGGAGCCGGCCGGCCTCGGGTCGAGGGTCCATGAGAACCGCACATGGCCTTCCGCTTTTTGAGTTTGTTTTCTTGGGGCAAAGCGGTTGCTGGGTTTTCAAGGGAAGTCAAAGCCAGTTTGAGGGGTGGGGTGCTATTTCGGCATGCCTGTATGATGGTTAATTTCATGGTAGCCATTTAGCACTGAAACACTGCACACCCAATTCCAGCTCTTCCGAAAACGAGAAGGCACTTGCAATCCACTTCGCAAAAAACACACGCACACACACACACACACACACACACACACACACACACACACACACACACACACACACACACACACACACACACACACACACACACACACACACACACACACACACACACACACACACACACACACACACACACACACACACACACACACACACACACACACACACACACACACACACACACACACACACACACACACACACACACACACACACACACACACACACACACACACACACACACACACACACACACACACACACACACACACACACACACACACACACACACACACACACACACACACACACACACACACACACACACACACACACACACACACACACACACACACACACACACACACACACACACACACACACACACACACACACACACACACACACACACACACACACACACACACACACACACACACACACACACACACACACACACACACACACACACACACACACACACACACACACACACACACACACACACACACACACACACACACACACGCCCGCTCTTTGAGATAAAGATGTGACCCATGATGGATATCCGCCATCGAATCCAGAAACCACCAATGGAATCTCAGCGATGGGAGATTGCAGAAGTGCCCGTGACCTCCTCCAAAAGGACTTCAACATGGAAATGGCATTGTTTTCAAGCGAGCCAACGGAGACTGGTGGGGAATCCAGGACAAACCAAGTTGCCTTGCCATTCAAAAGCGCCCGTTTCGCTGGATCCATGCTCCAGCATACACATCGGCGAGGAAACTGGCAAGTTGGACAGCGCGAAATGATGATCCAAGCACAAGGATAGAACATGGGCATTGGGCACGCCCGTTTTCCTTTCCAGGGACTACTTCTCTTCAAAGAGTCTTGGGAGCAACCCCATCACAAAGTTCTAGCCGTCCCGATTCTGTTCCGGGATCCTCAGAAAATGGTCCAAACCCCTAAAAAAAAACGGGCGATGTTTGAGTGGGGCATCAACCTGATGCACCCCCAAAGACTTTTCGAAAAGTGGGTGGTTTCCGAGGGTCCGCAAAAAAAGCCAAAAGCCGGGCGTCTTCGGCCCCGCCTCGAAGAAATCCCCAAGTCTCTCTCAGGCCGGTGGAGTCCACCCGAACCTCACGCCCCTCTTCAACGTGAAGGCAGGCGTCGCGTTTTTTCTGCCGAACGCCCGCATAGCCATGGCCGTACTTGGCGGCTCCCAGCCATCCGGTTCCTTAGCCTTTTGGCTTTTTAGTTGGTTTGGTGGTTGGATTTCCATGTAGCCCACTAAAAGTTGGTCACTTTGAGCGGGGGCTCTGATAGCTCGGTCCATTGGTTGATTCGAAGCTGAGGGACGTGGTTGGTTTAGGCTGCCCCGCGGTGTATTGGTAGATGTGGGTCTGAACCACGAAGCATCATCACCAAAAGGGGCATCTGTTTTACCAAGGGCCACCCATTTAGCCCAGGATAAGTCCTCAAGACCCTCATTTTCGGAGTCGCATGGATAAAACTCTGGAACCTTTCGAGTCAATTCACTTTCTCAGAGTCAAAGGCGCTGGCAGCTCTGTCTGTTCTTACTCGATTACCATGGAATCTAAGCAGCCATCATGCTTAGAGGCAGCGCCTTTTGGATTCGGAATGCCTTGCTTCGGGTTCCAATGTCCGTTTTGAGGATAGTTTTTCGGGAGACCCAACTTGGTTCCCAAACTTAGAGACACAACCAAGTCGAGT